TAATTAAATTCTTCGCAGAATTTTTTTTAAAGTTTTAAAATAATTTTTAAAATTCTTTTTGCGATGAATTTTACTTTGAAAGGATTTCTTGACAAGAATTTATTAAAATTTTTTTTTTAAAATAATTGAAATTTTGATAAGAATTCAATTATTTTTGAAAAAAATGAATTCTTGACAAGAATATGTTTCAAATTTTTGAGAATATAATTGAAATCCTCCAAAGAATTTTATTAATAATGAAAATAATTAAAATCTTCCAAAGAATTGCATTCTTTATGCGATGATAATTGAATTCTTGCGATAAATTTTATTAAAATTTTTGAAAATAATAGAAATTCTCCGAATAATTTTATTATTTACGAGAATAATTGAATTCCTGTGACAAATTTTATTATTTGCAAAAATAATTGAAGTCTTGTAAAGGATTTTTTTAAAATTTTTGAAATTAATTGAATTTTGGAGAAGAATTTTATTATTAATAAAAAAAATTGAAATTTTGACAAGAATTTTATTAAAATTTGTGAAAATAATTGTATTTTCGAGAATTTTATTATATTTGTAAAAATAATTGAAATTTTGACGAGAATATTTTTCAATTTTTGTACATAATTGAATAATTTTTATTTTTCAATATTATTTAATTGCAGAATTTTTGAATAATTTAAAATTTTGTAAAATTGAATTGTAAACGAATGAATTTGGAAATGCTCATAAAACTCATCGCAGCGTTTCAATTATTTTTCATACAATTAGAATTGAATTCCTTGAAAAAGTAATTATGTTCATACAAGTTTTAATAAACCACGACAAAAGAATTCAATTATTTAAAAATTTGTTACTAAAATTCTTTATGAGAATTGAATTATGAGAAACATTCAATTATTCAATAAATTATTTACTTTTGCATTTAAATAATTAAATTCTTGTAGAATTTTCTAATAAAAATTGATTTTTATTTCATAAAAATGAATGTCAGATAAAATTTTCGATTATAATAATTGAATATTAAAAGGAATATAACGTGAATTTTTTGAAATAATTGAATTTTGAAATTAATTTTTTTGAAAAAGTTTAATTGAATTTCCTTTTATATTATTTGAAGTTTTTATTTTCTAATATGCATTTAATTAAAGAATTTAGGAATAATTGAAATTTCGTGAAATTGAATTTTGTAAACAAATGGATTTGAAAATTGCCAAAGAACTTTTTCGAAAATTATTAAAAATAATAGATATATAGTAAGATTGTAGTTAAAATTTTTTGAAAATAATTATTGAATTGAAATAATGAAAATAATTTTGAAGAAGTATTCTTATAATATAAAATAATGATTTTATTACTTGGTCATCTTTAATTATTATAAAACATGAAGAAATCGATGACTCTGAGTCGGAGTTATCGATATCTTCATGTTTTATAGTTATAAAAAAATTTAATGAACTAAAATTTCATTTATTGTAAAAAATAACACCAAAATTGATTATTTTAATTTTCTTTGTGTTAATTTAACCTGCAACACTTTTTAATACCTCACGATTTACTGTGAAAGGATGAAAAATAGAAATACTCCGAAAATTCGGAACTTTCAAATGAGCCGAAATATTTTTTGTAACTTAAATAATTTCAAAATGTTAAGATTCAATATTCAGCTGTTGTTATATTTTTAATTAAAGCGAAGAGCGCAGAGCGAACAGATTTAGAGAAAAGAAAATTACAAAGTCATTGGAACTTTCCGAATTTTCATATTAATGTTGACTTTAAATCAACAAATCAGTATTGTAAATCTGATTTGTTGATTTAAAATCTCATTGTCTTTCCGTACAACAACATTAATCACCTATTACATTTCATTAAAACGATAAGACGATAAAATTATAATTCGCAACTGCCCTATGCACATATAGTTTATAATTACAGTATTACACATATAAATGCGTCTTGTGTAGTAAAATTATATCGTTCGCGCAGTATATATACGAAGACAAAATATTGACACGATCCCCCTGATAAACGGGCGCGTGTGATACACAGGAAAAAAAAAGTCTGACTCCGTTTACACCTTAAATTCAGCCCATGTATTTCACATAAGTCTGTCCTTGTTTAACGGGGCTGACTCCGTTTACATCATAAATTCAGCCTCAAAAAGAGGCTGAAAGTAAAACTTTTTTTTTAGTGTGTAAACATTATTCATTCACATATATATTATGAATGTAAGAGAATTAATAGCTTCTGGTTAGGTATATATATTATAGAGAGTCTATATATTATATAGAAAAAATTATACTGTATATTATAAAATTTTTGGGGTGTTTAAAATGTCACGAATTTTATAATTACACGTAATGTAGCATATAGAAAGTAAGTTAATATCGTCGATAATAAGTACTCTTAAATAGTAATCACGAAGATATAATGGCCACCTTCCGACCTTCTATGCTAACATAATTGATCTGGGATACATGCGGACCTATAATTAGCGCCTCCTTTCAAAATTGGGATTACCTAGTTCTTTTATAAGAATTTATTATTTCTGATCTGCAAAAATTAAAGACTTTCGTTGTCTTGTATATAGTGTATCCGCAATTTATTTACTATACGCCATTATTTATTGCACTTCTCTAGAAGCGCCATTTATCAAATGCATTTTTTTTTTACTTTCATTCTTTGCGCCATTATGTTATCAGCATTAGTATTATATTATTATTGCTATCACTGTTATTATCACCATCATTATAATCATTACCATAATTGCTATTTCCACTATTCTTATTATTATTATTATCAAAATAAATTTTTTATTACAATTATTATTATTTAATAATTTTAATATTTGCTTTTTGTAGGAACCGTTCCTGAAATTTCTTTAAGGATATAAATAATAATAAAATAGTTAATGTTATTATTTAATTATTATTAAAATTATTAGTAATTAATATTTCCTTTTTTTAAATCGTTTTTCGTAATTGTTTTACAACAAAAAAGCTGTAAATAATAATATAATACTTATTGTTATTGTTATTATTATTATTTTAATTAACATTAATATTATTATTTACTATTGCTATTATTACTATTATTATTATTATTATCATTTTATGTTGTTACTATTTATATTATTGGTTTTTTGCAGACTTATTTTTTCAATGATAAATAACATAAATAATTAAATAATCTTTAATTATTGAAATAAATAAATAATTTACTCTCCCAGAGGGCAATTTTAATTATAAATGTATATATAATTTGAGTAAACGTGTTCATATACATTTTATACTTTTTTTGTAGAAAGAGGAAGCGATGTGTTTCCTAAATTCTAATTTTGTTTTGATAAAAGTCAACTTTCTGTTTTGATAACGAAATTATCAACTTTTGTATATGTATATGGGTCAAAGAATCCGCACAGAAAAAGTTTTTTTGATCTTGAGCAAATTATATACATGAAAAAAGTGGTTTCTTTTTAATTTGATTAATTTGAAAGCTTTTTTTCTTTTAGTGCTAAAATTTATTTTTCTATTTATTTTTATTTCCACTTTAATTCAAATTTCTAATTTATTTTTCATTTAAAATATTAAAATTTTGTTTTTCAAAAATATAAATAATTTTTTTCTCAAAAATTTAAGTATTTTTTTCACAATTTTAAAAATTATTCTTTCAAAATTTGTAATATTTTTCTACAATGACAAAAAATTACATAAAAACTGCAATGAATAATAAATTCACTTATTACCTACCTACTTTGATAATTAATTATGTTAATTGTTATTTATTATTTTCAAAAATTTTAATCAAATGCTTCGAAACAATTCAATTATTTAAAACTTCCAGTAAAATTATTGGCAAAAATTCAATTATATTCAAAAATTTTCATAAAATAAATGATAATATCTCAAAATAATTTTATTTGTATTAAAAATTATAATAAAAGTCTTCGAAAATTCAATTATTTTTCAAACTTTTTTATAGAATTTCTTAAAAGAATTCAATTATTTTCAAAAATTTTTTAATAAAATTCTTCAAAAGAATTCAATTATTTTTTCATAAATAAAAATATTTTTCTCAGGAATTCAATTTTTCAATTATTTTGCAAATGTTATATTTTTGAGCCTAAAATTTATTATTATTCAAAACATTTTAAAAATACATGAAAAATGCAAAAAAATAATTGCAATAGTTTTTTTTTATTTATTGTAAAAATGGCAAAAAATTTGCAAAATTTTGAAAAATTTAAAGTACATACAGAGAAGAGACATTCATTTGATTCAATATAATCAATTATTCGATTTATGGTCAAATAAATATTGACGTGAAGCAAATAATGAACATTATTTAAATCAAATAAAACTTGAGGGATCAAATAAATTCTGAATTTGAAGCAAATATTAATTAATTACCTCAAATAAAAATTATTTTAATCAATGTAAATTAATTTATTTATGTAGATAATAATTGTCGAATATTTAATTATTTGTTAATAAATTTTTTTTCGGAGCAGTGCGGAATACAATAATTTATTAATTGAAATTTAAATCTTTTTGTTTGTCAAAAAGTAAAGGAAAAATAAATTATAAAATAAAAATGTAATTAAAAAACTAAAAAAAAGTGTATGAAAATTAAAATTCATAAAAAAATAATAATAAATAAATAGGAAACTAACAATAATAGATGATAAAATAAAAATATAATTAAAAGTCTAAAATAAATCTAAAAAAATAATAAACATATGTAATAAAATAATAATAATAAAGAATAAAATAATAAATAATTAAAAACTAGAAAAAAAAACAGAAACTAAAATTAAATAGTTAGCGTAAAAAAAGAATAAAAAACTGTAAAAACAATGTTTTTTTTAAGTGAACTATAAATTTCCTTAAATAAAATTATCGTCGCTTTGAATAAATTCAATAATTCTTTAAAGAGAGAAGTAAGTATGCAGAAAAAATATTTGCGCAGGCGCAAAATATTACCGGGAATTATCAAAATAATTTAATTGATTTAAATACCTTGTACGATCCACATGCTTAATATGTCACTGGGCACAAATGTAAATATGTTTACAATGTATGTGTCTCTCTCTCTATGTATGAATAAATACACCAACTAATTGTGAATCACTTTGAAAACAAAATCATTAACAAACAGTATATTGAAAAAAACTCATTTAAACTCGCGAAATGTCATATTTTTATTGAAACATTCAATTAAATAATGGAATTAATTTGAGAATACCGGCAAATCGCGTGCATTCACTCATTGTCGGTGAATGAATGACTGAAGAGAACTGCACGACTCCGGCATCACCGTTGTTAAGTATACAAAAACCTTCAGCCAATAAGGTGCGAGCGATTGAAAACTTTCAAAAGAACGCCCCCATTTTATGAACTCTCAACCCCGGTTACATACTAATCAATCCAATTTTTACAAAAAAATTTATTAATTTATTCATTTCATTAATATTTAAAACAAAATTATTTTCTAATTATTATTATTTCAAATAATTTAACTTTTAATTACTAAACGAAAAATTATTTAAGTTTGATTTGCAGTAAATGTTTGAAATTAAATTCTACGGAATTTTTCGGGTGGAAAAAAATCAATCCAATTTTTCCAAAAAATTTGTAAATTTATTTACTCAATATTAATACTAAATTGTAAAATTTTTTCATGTTTTATTAAACAAAAAAATATTTAAAATTAATTTGAAGAGAAGCGCTTTAAATTAAATTTCATGGATTTAACCCCTGGGTGAAAAAAAAAATCAACACAATTTTTACAAAAAATTTATTAATTTTATTATTATTCAAAATAATTATTAATTATTTTTAAAATAAGTAAAATCGAAATTTAACATTTTTTTAACGAAATGAAAAACTATTTAATTAATTTGAAGAAAATGATTTAAACTAAATTTTAAACCCCGAGTTAATTTTCACCCGGGGTTAACTTAACCCTGGGTGAAAAAAAACCAATACAATTTTTCCAAACAATTTGTAAATTTATTATTAATATTAAATTCAAAAATTTTTTCCATTGTTTACTAAACAAAAAACTATTTAAAATTAATTTGAAAGAAAAGGTTTAAACTTAAATTTTATGGACTTAACCCCGGGTGGAAAAAAAATCAGTCCAATTTTTTCAAAAAAACATTGTAAATTTATTCAATTAATAATAAATTTGAATTTTTTTTCAATTTTTACGAAACAAAAAACTATTTAAAATTAATTTTCAGGAAACGTTTGAAACTAAATTTTATGGACTTAACCCCGACTGGTACTAATCAATCAAATTTTGTCAAAAAATTTGCAATTTTATTTATTTAACATTAAATTCGAAAAATTGTACATTTTTTACTAAATATGAAAAATTATTTAAAATCATTTTGAAAGAAACGTTTGAAATTAAATTTTATGGATTTAACCCCTGGTAAAAAAAAATAAATTAGATTTTTACAAAAACTTTGAAAATTTATCAAAAAAATTTTACATTGCTTTCGTACTGAACAAAGAATTAATTTATTAAGATTAATTTGAAGGAACGTTTCAAAATCAATTAAATTAATTTATGCAAAAGAATTTCCTGTGTAATGCACGAAATTTATAGTTATTAATTTCATAAAAATTTTGATAGTTTTTCTTTAGAAAAAAAATAAACTTTTCGCCATTCATATAACATATGCCTTAGAACCTCGTTTAAAACACTTTTATGACCAATTCGCCAGAAGTTGTTTTATTTTCCGTTTCGAAACTTATATACATGAATAATTTGGCATAACCAGGTAACTTAAAGTGGGCAATAAAATTTTAACCTTCTTATATATACACTAAATTATGCTTCAAATTTTTCAATTTCAATTGTATCGCACAAAATAATTTCTTTTCCTGGAAAATTCCGCTATATTTTTTTTCCACAAAAAGCAATTTATCACTTCTTTTTTTTTGCTATTTTTGAAGAAAGAACTATAATATTGCTTAACTTATTTATAATTTCTTAATAATGGCAAACTACTTGGTTCCAAGGTATACACAAGTCTTTATAGAAATAGGATTTTAATTATACAGACAAACAAGATTATTTTAAATTATAAAATAAGGGGAAAGATATTATAAATTTTTTACAGTAAGAAATTATTTGTTGGTTAAAAAAAAATTTTTTTTCAAAATGACTTTTTTCACTCTTTTTTAATTATATCAATTTTTCAAAAATTGAGTAACAATTATTGCTGAGTCGATATTGGTTGTTTAAATTTCGAACTAAAACTATATTTTTTTAACTGTAGGTAAAAAAATTTCCTTTCTAATCCTTGCGCGATTCACTACCGACAGTGATACACCGACCTTAAACTTCTGTTATACCTTCAGCAGAAAGGAACGGGAATCCCTTTCGTTATTACCAACAATTTTTTTTCTCCTATTTTCAATTTGTATTAGTATTATTTCTAAATTTATTCCTACTATTATAAATTTTAATTATTATAAATTATAATATACTATTTAATAATTTAATTAAATAATATTCGAATAACTAAAAATTACTAAAAGAAAATCAGAAAAATAATTATTTAATTTTTACATTTATTAAAAAATTGAATTATTCAGCTAGTCATTAAATTTTATCAAAACTTTAATTATTTACTTTAAGTTCAGTGCGACTTAAAAAACAATATTTAAAATTTTCAAACTTTTAGGTAATTTAATTTTCTGATAACATGAAAAATAGAACGACTTCCATGTTTTTTCTTTTTCGACTCTTTTTATAGTAATTAATTAATACGTTGGTGAAGTTTACAAAGTTTGGAATCAGGGATTAAAAAAAAATATATTTTTTTCCACTAGTACACATTAGTTTTTTTCCACTACTTTTTATCTAATAATTAATGTTAAAATATTGTATGTAACAAAAGAACTTTTGTTATTTTGTCGTTCGTCGGAAAATTCTTGCTAAAAAAATAAATAAAAATAAATAAAGAAAATAAACTAAGTAACAAAAGTTTTCATGAGGAAAATTATTATTTACTAATTAAACCTATATAAACAAAACAAACATTGTCGAACAAAATAGTAAAAATAAATAAATAATATTTTTATTCTTTAAACTGTCTAAAACAAATGAATAATAATATTATTGTTTATATTATACGAAATAACAAAAATTTCCTCGAGTGAAATTGAGGCCTTGGATCCAATAACTCGCCCGACGCTCGGAGGAACGCGCAACTGCCAGTCAGTGAGCAGTGAGCGCCTCTGGGCCACTCACTGCTACCCGACTGGTATTAGCGCGTGTCTTCGAGCGTCGGGCGAGTTATTGGATCCAAGGCCTCAATTATTATTATTATAATAAATAACAATTATTATTCAATGATTAATATTTAGATTGTGAATAATAAAACAATAAAAATAAGTAAAATATGTTTTTTGTGTTTTCATCACTAAATTAAATAAACAAAATAACACAAATTTTCACAAAGAAACTTATAATTTAATAATTAATATTTAAATAATGGATAGCAATGAAAGGAAATAAACAAAATAATACAAATTTTTATAAGAAAAATTATTATATTATATATTTAAATACTAGATAACAAAACATAAAAAATAAGTTGTTTTTTAATCACTAAATGAAATGAACAAAACTAAACAAAGTAATAAAAATTTCTATAAGGAAAATATTATTATTTAATAATTATTATTTAACAATTATTTTTATTGTGAGTGAACAGTTATTATTAAAAAAAAAATTTTTAATATTGGATAGCGATGAATCAACAAAAATAAATAAAATGTGCTTTTTGTCTTTTAAGAACAAATGTAAATTTGCTAACTAATATTTAAACAATGGATAATTAACAATAAACAACAAAAATAAACTTTTTTTATTAGATTTTTCATCAGACAAATTATAATTTATATATCTAATAATGAAAAAACTTACTTCCTAAATTTGAATTAGTAAATTTACTAATTTAAATTAATGTCTAATTTAATTTTTTTTATATTACTTCCTCATAGAGGAAGTATTGTAATACCAAAATTTTATGAGTTCGATTTTTTGACATATCTTTATGTTATTTGACCTTAGGAGTTCAAAAATGCCATTTTTAAAAATTTTCTAGTAATTTTTACATTCAAATTAGTACATTTTACTAATAAATAGTAATTTCTAGTATTTTTGCATTCAAATTAGTAAATTTTCCTAATAAATAGTAATTTTTTAATTCAAATTAGTACATTCTACTAATAAATAGTAATTTTTAGTAATTTTTACATTGAAATTAGTAAATTTTACTAATAAATAGTAATTTTTTAATTCAAATTAGTAAATTTTACTAATAAATAGTAACTTCTAGTAATTTTTGCATTAAAATTGGTAAATTTTACTAATAAATAGTAATTTTTAGTAATTTTGCTTCCTCATAAGGAAGCTTTGCATTGGTGACGATTTTCAATTTTTCAAAAGAAGATTATATGGACTCACAAAAATTGTGTACAAATTATCTCATACAAATTTTGATGGATTGTCCTGAAATTTTGCAGGTTTTTTTGCAGTCATTAATACCTAAAATCTGACACAAGGATTTTCAAAAATATCTACAAAATTTTTTTTTATACAATTTTTTTAAAATTCAGAAAAAATTTTTTTTGGTATTTTTTGAAATAATTTTTTTATTTGTTAATATTTTCATTAATTACAAATTTATTAGTAAAATTTACTAATTCAAAAACAAAAAAATCAGTCACTAATTCAAATTAGTAATCATTTTTACTAATTCAATTTAAGAGAACAAATACCGTATATTTAGGCCTTTTCATTATTAGATACATAAAAAAATAAATGAACATAAAATTATAAACAATTTTGTTCAGAACTTTTGTTTTTTACAAAATTAGTGCTTCAAAAAATTTTATAAAAATGTTTAATACAAAATGTTTTTTTTAAATAAAAATTTGATAAGGAAAATATTAGTTTCTTTAAAATCGCTTATCACAAACTTTGTAGACTTCACTAAAGTTAATTATTATACCTACCTGGTATTTATTATGATTATTAAAATTATTATTTTTATTTTTTATTAGAATAAAAAATTCTAATATTTGCTTTTTGTAGCAATCGTTCCTGTAATTATTTTGTGATAATAAATAACTTTTAGGTATTAATTTTGTCATGAAGGAAAAAATTATTAATTTTTATTATTATTATTTTATTTTTATTATTATTAGGAATATTATTATCATTTATTTATATGATAAACGTTCATACAAAAAGTTAAAATGTCCTTTCATACAAACTGTATTATTATTTCTATTATAATATTATTATTATTATTATTATTATTATTATTATTATTATTATTATTATTATTATTTTACGATTTTTATAAAAAAAATATTTTAAAAAATTAATAAATTTTTTTTTAATTCAGTCTATTTAGTCTATAATTGGTAAAAATTTATTCGTGTTAAATTTTTATTGTTTAAATTCTCTCTCAGTTCGAGTGCGCATTTTTGGAAAGGAGATGATGGAGGGAGGGGGGAGTTTAAAATACTTTTTTTTCTAACAAATATATTAAAAAGTATATTTATAAATAGAGTAATAAAAAAAAGGCAAGTTGAAATTCTTTTAAAAGAAAAGCAGTTTAATAGTTTCTTACAACTTTCGTCGAGCTGGGAGTGAGGATTGGTCACACGGGTCACACCACCGACGGGTCCGAGAAATCAAATACGAAGCGAAGCGCTGTTTTGGATCAGTGTAAGTCTGTGCTTCACAGAGATAGGATAAGAAATTTTTTTTTTTTAGTTTTATACATTCTCTCCTCTCGACATTTCGAAACTCAAGTAAAACACCACGTGACTGAAACGCGCGCGGCAAGATTCAATGTAATTCGAACGCAAAGTGATAAAAAAAATCCCGCGCCAAATGTCAACATACTGCTCTCTTCGATTATTATTTTTGAGTGTTAATCATTTTTTTCTGTGAAAGTGAATTGGAATCTTTTCTCTCTTTTTTTCTTGTTTTACAGCTTCGATCTATGTGGCGGTTTTTATTTAGACACTTCACCACGTGAGTCTCATTTTTATTTATAGTTTCTCAATTTTTAATTTTTATGGGCTTTTCATTTTTTTTTCATTTTTTCAAAAATCAGTTTTGGATTTCTATATTTTTTGCACATCATAGTTAATACACTAAACACCCAAGAAAAAAATTGACTCAGTCTTGCAAACTTTTTATTTGTTTCAAATAAATTTTATTCATTTCAAACAAAAATTTTATTTAGTTTAAAGTTTTAAACAAAATTTTATTTGTGTCTAATAAATTCTTAAAATTTGTTCGAATAAATATTTAAAACAAATAAATAATTCACTAGTTTCTGGGACAAAAAATATACTTTTATTTAAACTCAAATAAATTATATTTTGTTTAAGCAAAATTTCCCTCTGGGTGTAAGTTTTAACACTTTTGTTATCAACTTGGTTCTTTATTATCCTTAAAGTTTTTGAACGTTCAAATTAACGAAATATTTTTTTCTGTCCAAATATTATAAAAGTTACTATATACTTAAATAAAAAATAATGTAATATAAACATTTACTTAATTAAAAAAAAAATATATATATACATATACCTTAATTAAAAAAATCTTTTCAAAAATTCAGAAGAAAAAAATATTTTTCTTAGCAAATTTTTATAAAAAAAAACATTTTTATAAAGTTTCTTGAACTACCAATTTTCTAAAAAAATGTTTTAATCAAAATTATTTATAAAAAAAAATTCTTTTGTACTAAAATTGAGATTGAATAAAATATCGTTGTTCGTTTAAATGTTTAAAACTTTAAAGACAATGTACTATTAAATGAACTTTAATTTCTTTTAATTTGTATTTTCCTACAAAAGAAGAATTATTTTTTATATTGAAAAAATTAGTTCTTCACTATGTAAATATTTAATTTTAATTATTTTTCTTATTCGGATAAATTAATTAACATATTTTTTTAATTATTTAATTATTTGTGTATTTATTTATTCGCGCATTTATTTATTTATTTACTTATTTATGTACTAATTTATTTTTAAAATGTATATTTATTTATTCAAACAGAGGGAAAATTTCTTTTATTTGAACGTTGAAGTAAACTTTAGAAAAGTGATTGTTTTTACACGATTTATTGCTATTGTTTTCTGATTTTTCCTTTTAATGAAAGAATTTTAATTTGAGAAAATTTTTGCCTATGTATGGAACATTGTGCGATATTAAGACAAAGGTTTTAATGTTTTAAATGAAACTTGACTATGGAATGATTACTTTGTGCACTTACAGCAGCACGTGCAGTAAATAATACTGAATGAAATTGAAGGCTGAATTTTTTTATAACAGTAATTTTTTTTTTTTTTTTGCATTCTTATAGGATTTCAACATGTTTGACATCCATTACGAAGATAAATACTTTCGTTGAGTTTAACAAAACCACAAAATTATACGAAACTCTATAACTTTTTACTGTTCGTAAACACGCCTCGAAAAAAGCTTTTTGCAATGGAATTTTTATTATTTTTTATTAATTAACATTAATTATTAATTTTTAATTAGTAAATTATCAATTACTATTAATTATGAATTAGTAAATTATTAATTACTATTAATTATTAATTTTGAACTAGTAAATATTATTATTGGTATATTAATGGTAATCCATTATTAATTTTAAATTTGTAAATTGTGAATTAATAATTATTAAATTATTAATTATTACGCAGAAGAAAATTTATTTGCTGTAAGTTTAAATAACTTGTCTTTTTAAAAATAAGTAAACTTCTCTATTAACTGCTTTAAGTACCTAATTATTTGTCTATTATTAAATAAATATTTACTTGAATAAAATAATTTTTATTTAAGTAGCGATTAAATGGTTCAATTCATATTTGCTTCAAATACTGAAATTATTGGTTCAAATACAATTTAATTGACTTCAATAAAAATTATTTAATTTAATGAAATATTTATTTGACAATAGACAAGTCAATCGGTTATTTTAATAGAGGAATTTTTTTCCAGTGTCATTATAAATTATGTAACTATATTAATTACTAATTATAAAGTAGTAATTATTAATTATTTATTATAATCATTAACTATTATTTTTAATTACAATATATTTGTATTATTAATGGTGATTAGGCTTATCTGCACTATTAATTACAAATTATTTCACTGAAAAAAAGTATTTATCAAATCTTCTAAAACTATTCTTCAATTTAGAAACAATGTAATGTAAATAAATATTTAAGTATAAAAATTTTCTTATTAAATATTGCATAAAACTGATCACAAGTTTCAATGAAGTTTAACATAATTTACAGTAATATTTGAAATATTTTTTCTGAATTTTTACAGTTTAATAAAATTTTATTAAATTCCAAAGAAGTATTTTTTACAATTGAGAATTTTTTTTCAATCAAATTTCGCAGTTGATATTAAATTGAATCGAATTAATGAAATTGAATCAAATTGAATCGAATTGAAATAAATAGAATCAAATTAAATTGAAATAAATTGAATTGAATCGAATTGCATCGAACCGAATTGAATTGAAATGAATCGAATTGAATCGAATTGAATCGAATTGAATCGAATTGAATTGAATTGAATTGAATTGAATTGAATTGAAATGAATCGAATTGAATTGAATTGAATTGAATTGAACTGAATTGAATTGAATTGAATTGAATTGAATTGAATTGAATTGAATTGAATTGAATCGAATCGAATTGAATCGAATTGAATCGAATTGAATCGAATTAAATCGAATTGAATCGAATCGAATTGAATTAAAAAGAAAAATTTCGAAAAAAATGAAATGGAAAACAATTTCTTAATTGTTTGCCTTCAGTGTAATTAATAATTAATAATTTCTTTTCCATTATTTATGGATATAGCTCACAATCAAAGTAAAGTATGTTCAAAAATCGTTATATCGCTCTAGTTTACTCTGTTTAAAACTTTATATTTTCACTTTCTTATATATTATTAGTAGCTATGTATACATAAATTTATATACCCAAGCATGTTTAAAAAGGTCAGACATTCTTTATAATTCAACTCTAATTTACCAATTTAAAACTTGCAGCGTAGATTTCATGTCAATTATATATTCATCAAATATCAAGCAATAAGACAAAGTTATATTTGCAATAATATTAAATTATTTCTATTGTAGTCATTCCTTTGTAGTTCTTTGTTCGACAATATATAAAAATCCTTACTATAGTGCCAAAGTGATGATGAAACAGTATATAAATTAAGTTTTAGTTTGCTTAATAATTTTTTTCTAATTAGACATTAATTGAACATTAATTTACATATACATTCTCTTTTACTAATAATCAAAGTGGTGATTAATTATTAAAATTAAAACTGCTTTTTCTTATTTATATACTATGTTTGTTCAGGTCATAAAATACACAATTATTTTTGTCTAATGAAAGTGTTATCATTAGTGCAATGGCATAATACTAATAGTATATTATATGTGATAAGAATATAGATATCGATGATTTATGTTTTTATATTATTGGTAAACAAAGTTTTCCGGAAAGCCGAGTGAAAAAGAGAAAAATATTAATGTGCGCTGGGCAAAAATTATTTAAATTCTAAAAGAAAGTGCCTTTTCGCGAGTTTTTTCTTTGTACTAGATTTATCTTGATTAAAAATTCCCTTTTAATTATGTAAATTCAAAAATATTTTTAATATTTTTAATGTAACGAATACTTTGACCAATAATTTCTAATAACAGTTGATATTTCTTTCTATATTTTTACTCAAAAAGTTATAAACAAAACCTAAATTTTTTTGCTTCTTGGGCTTTTTCGGAGCGCATCACAAATAATGTAAATTAAACATTTATTATTTTTATATTTATATTTATATATTTATATATATATATTTAAATATTTATATTTTTTATTATTTTTCATTATTGGCTAAAAAAGAAAAAACAATATTTTGCACTAAAATTGATAAAATAAAAAAAAAACGTCGTACATTTCAATACGTTCAAAACTTTAGGGACATTAAAAAAAATTCATCTTTTGGGATGAGGAAAATTTTTCTTAGAGGCAAAAAAATTATCATAATATGAAATGCTGCTGAAAGCTTATATGCACATTATTTTGCTCACTAAAACTTAATAATAGTAATGAAATTTCATAAACTCAGATTGCGAGGAAAATTATAATGCTCTTACAGATTGACTTCGCGGGTAATAGTTGCGCATTGAAAAAGTAAGAGAAAAAACGGAAATAAAATATAATAAGAGTATAGTAGTTGAAAAACATTATTAGAAATATGAAAATACACTGCAAAAATAGAAGTATCTTAAATGGTAAATTTATAGACATATTTAGATACTTGTTTTTTTTTGCTATGCAATCAATATATTATTAGGTGAGATTCTGTTCATCTAATTTTTTAATTATTATATACTCAGAAACAAAAAAGGAATTCAAAAATTTATTAATTTGTAATTTATAAAAAAAATTTAACTACCATCAGACATTAAATTTTTTCTAACTGATTAATTGAAAATTTATAATTTAATTTAATAATCATTTATTAATTATTACTCTCTAAACATGAAGTAGTAAAAAAAGTCATCCACTTAATTAAAATTGATGATTTCCTTTAAATTTTGCTACAATTTTACTAAATGAAAACATTTAGTATTTTGTTAATTTTTTACTACAGTTTTAGTGATGAAAAATTATTATTTATTAGTAAAATTTACTGATTCAAAAGCAAAAATTCAGTCACTAATTGAAAGGGAAAATAATTATTGAAAATAATTTCTGATTTTTGATTTTTTAGTAATAGTAACAAATTAGTAAACTTATAATAGACTCTCTCTAAAAGTAGAAAAATTATAAAAGAAAAACATAAGAACTGTTTAACATTTTGATTCGCAGATGTTAACAAATTTAATTATTATATATGAAACACCGTTTGTTCAAATGAGGGAGCATAAAGAATTAACTCTTGAGAAATGCAGAGAACAATGCAACCTTCAATTG